AGATGCCACCTAAACATTAGGAAGAACTTCCTAATGGTGAGAGCTGTTCAGCTGTGAAACTCTCTGTCCTGGAGTGTGGTGGAGGTTCCTTCTTTGGAGGCTTTTAAGCATCTGTCAGGGGTACTTTGAATTCAATTTTTTTTGCTTCTTGGAGGGGGTTTGACTGGATGGCCCACAAGGTCTCTTCCAACTTTATGATTCTAAATAAATAAATGTATGAAGGTGACCATTAACAAACGAACATGTATGACTAAAATGCTGGAACGGTTGCAGTTCTCTGTAGAACGATTGTGGCTATGTTGCTCCATTGGTTTTGTGAGAAAAAAGGAATCCTACTTGAAGGCATCCTGACCCGCTCAGCCTATATGATCATAAAAATTATGATCCAAGGTAGATCTAGTACCTCTATTTGCTCTTTGAGTAAGTAGTTCTTTCAAGATGCTCCAAAGTGTTTTGACTTTTATTCCCTCTTGAATTTATAGGGTTACAACTAGGAATAATAACTCATCACAAATTCGGTGGTATAGGGGGGAAAAAACAGGAAGAAAATGAAAGAAAATAAGTTTTTTCCCACAAATTTGAATATTCACTTTTAAAATAATGAACCTACAGAACGGGGGCGAGACAACTGGGAGTGAGAGTAATCTACTTTCCAGAAGGGAAATTCAGTCTTGAAAGAGTTATCACGGGAGGAAAAGTGTCTCAGCTGAAGCTTTATCACCAGTCCTTATTTCCACAACAAGCCACATGTTTCAAAATCCAATCCTCACAGAGACCTAAAGTGGGGTTAAATCTTCTGAACAGAGGCAAAGATAGCAAAATAAATATCACAGGGGTGTTAACCCTTTCCTGTGCTACCCAAAGCTTATTTATTTGTTTCGTATCAAAAGCATTGCATAAATTAGTATAAAACCAATAAAATATAAGTAGCTCAGGTGGCTAAATATCTTTTGACCAAGCCTCCAACAATTCTTCCTCTGTACATGAGGCAGGGCATAGTGGACAATCATACAGATGCAGGGTTTTCTGTTCTGCTCCACAGTCACATAAGGTGTGGGATTCTTTTAGGTAGTGCCATTTTGATAGGTTGTTTTTTGATCTGCCCACTCCACTTCTGAGTCTGTTCAGAAAGCTAATATATATCTATATTTGGCCGGAGTTACTCTTACAAAATGTACCTGTTCTGACTTACATACAAATTCAACTACAGAACCTATCTTGTTTCTAACTTGGAGACTGCTTGTACTTCTAAAATCTATATAATGGTAAGACTTTTTTTGATCATTACAATTCTTGGTCTTGACACCCTTTTCTCAGTTCGTTTCCTGATGCTATGAAAGATTAGAGGAGAATAATTAATTTTCTCTCTTTTACTAATATTGATCCCACCATCACTATTCCTGGTAGAGTGCCAAAGCCAAAGATGTTCCTTTGGATTTTTCCAGAGTAATATCCTATGATTATTCATCGCCTTTATGTAGTAGCCAAAAGCTTTGAAGGGTCTGTTAAAAGACTGTACCTTTGCACAGATGCCATCTTTCAGAATAGGTACATATTTCGGTATAGCTTACAATTTCAACTAGGTGTACTTAGAAGCTAGCATCAGCAACTTTTTATCTGCAGCCTGAATGATCCATGACAACTTAATTACACCACTTATGCAGCAACTGCACCGATGCTCTATAGGAAGCAATAGTAGTTGTACTGTAACTTATGTTTCTGTGGCTACTTTATCTCCTGATAACTCCGTAATTAACTTGTCACCACTGTTTAATGCTTAACGTATGTAGAGAATCAGTTAATGGCATCACTAAAGCGATAGTAGCCTGAAGGAGCAGCTCATGCCCACTGGGAAGGCTATCAGGGATTGCTTAAACACAAAACACCCGGGCCTGACCTGGAAAGGCATTAGGAAGCTTTGGAGAGAATGTTTAAAAGTGTTACTGAGACAGGCACATCTGGTATTCAACTGAAAACACAAACTTTGGGATCACAGTAAACTAAAGCTGCATGGGATAGAAATACAGATTGAGTGCCTACCCCTCATCTGCAATTCTTTGGAGCAGAAGTGTTCCATATTTTGGATCCTTGGATTTCACTTGGATCTATTGAATGAGATATTTTGGAGATAGATCCCAAGTTTAATTTCAAAATTAATTTTTACACTTTATACATATGTCCTGAAGGTAGTTTTATACACAACTAGCCACCCCTGCCATGCGGTGCTGTGGTCCAGTCTGTGTATATGTCTTTTGTGTGTGTATGTGTATTATGTGTATATATGTGGTTTTGCGCATGCATAGTAATGTATATTTTTTTTTGGCTTTTAAGTCTCTTCCGCTATGTTTTTTCAGTGTTTTTATGAGTGAAGGTCACTTGTTGGCCTGATAGGTGTATTGTGTCCAAATTTGGTGTCAATTTGTCCAGTGATTTTTGAGTTATGTTAATCCCACAAATGAACATTACATTTTTATTTATATACATACTAGCTGTCCCCTGCCACGCGTTCCTGTGGCCCACATGGGGGTTCTGTGTGGGAGCTTTGGCCCAATTCCATCGTTGGTGGAGTTCAAAATGCTCTGTGATTGTAGGTGAACTATAAATACCAGCAACTACAACTCCCAAATGACAAAATCAAATTTTTGAGTAAAGGACATACATTGGGTTGTTAGGTGTATGCTGTCCAAATTTGGTGTCAATTGGCCTACTGGTTTTTGAGTTCTGTTAATTCCACAAACAAACATTACATTTTTATTTATATAGATATTTTGAATAGTTCTGTGCATGAAATGATGTTTGAGTATATTGAATTATCATAAAGCAAAGGTGTCCCTATCATAGCTGCCCATGTTGACAATTTTGGATTTTGGAATTCAAATAAGGAGTATTCGGTCATTATAATACATGTTTTTGACCTAAGGGAGCTATCTTGCCACTTCTTACATAGGAGTAAATGCTATTTGGTTCAATGAAATTTACCCTCAAGTAGATGAATATAACCGTTCTGCGTAAATAGTTCTTAATAACATTCCTGTGTATGCTACTGCATAGTTACTAATGTTGCTCTCTCTGAACAATATATAACTACTTTTTATCCTTATATCACCCAGGAGACTACTAATGTAAAAGATGACACCCTAATGGACATTTTGAATGTTAAAAATTCAGGTTATACAATGGTGGTTTCTCTCAATTAGGTCAGAGCTGAATCATGTTCTCATGGGAACAAAATATAGTTCTTTTCTGCACCATTCACAAGAGTAGTGAGCCATTCCGACCATGATACAGCTGTCCCATATTGAGTTTCTCCTACTCGGTGGAAAGAACTTGCTCTCCATTAACAATGATACATTTGCATGTTCTGAAAAAGCCTAATGAGTATATCATAGGTGTGTGATCAGTATGCATTCTAAACCATGTACTTGTGAATGCATCATGTACTTTTAAAGATTTCCCATGTTAGAATAATTTCCTGTTTGTAACACTTGTGTAGTCAGCAAACTATCCAGTGCAGTCTGCATTGCCCATTCCCAGAAGTCGAAGGGTGAAAGTGAATGCACGTTCTACCAATAGCACAACTCGTAAAAGCAAGCACTTGTTAAATCTATTTGTTTTTATTATAGACATCGATCTGCCAGTCGCAATAATGCATTTATGGACATTTTTCTGCAAGCACAGCGCTGGTGGCAGTTTTTACTGACAAATTGAGTCATATGGACAGTAGTTCAAAATAAGCTTACTTTATTGACAAATTGTGCAGTTTTCTAGTTCTCTGAGTGTTCTTAAGATATCTGGACTGGCAAAGAGAATATAGTAGAAATGTAGGACAACAGGTCTAATTTTTGAAGGGTAGAATCTATAAAATTGGCGGAGTGACTAGCAATGTTTCTCAGTTATTACATTTGTTGAGAAGTTTTTAACTATAATGGGTTTTCAGGTGCCACATGAATGAGAATTATTTGGGAGATAATGGTGCCCAAAATTACATTCCATTTCTTTTAAGATACTTGCAATAAATATGGTGCAGGCTTGCAGTGAAGTTTCCTAGGAAGTTCACAAAGTCTCCAAGAGGATCTTCCAAAGCTGAAAGTACCCCTGAGTTTAGAGAGACTTTAGAAGCTTGAGGATAGCTTGCAGCAGTCAAAAATCTTAGTGTACAAGATTGCTACAGAAGAATGCCATGATTTCAAAAATTCATGGTAAAGATTTTAGTGAACATACACTTATGAAACCTACATCAAAGTGAAGGGGAAGTCCTCAAGTTTTTTTCCATGCTCTTACATGCCGTCGGGATGGGGTAATCTCACGAGTGGCCACCAGGCGGCATTTGTATGTCTGGCAGTGCAAAATTGCTACAACCCAATAGCGAAGGCTTTCTGTGTCCTATAGTTTCAAAACACAAATTCCGTAATTACTGTGCAATGGGTGTTTAGAGTGTACTGTCGGAAAGGCGATTAAACGCTGGTCCACACAGTTTAACAAGACAGGATGTCTGTGAAAGAAGATGTCACCCAGCCACCCGAGTTGTGAGTTCCCTCAACCACTACACGTCACAACATGTGTGGCAGGAGCTGGACTACCATTTTAATGTGTGTCATGTGACTGGTGGCAGCCATATTGAATATCTTTGAGTGTGAAAAAAAACTTGAAGACTTCCCCTTCACATTGATGTAGGTTTTATAAGTGTGCATTCACTAAAACATTTACCAGAATTTTTGAAATCGGGGCATTCTTTTGTAATAACCCTGTGTTTTAATCTATGTATACTGTTAAGGTTCTCTTTTTCAAGGGACTGTATCTGAAAACTGTCACCTAATAATGTTTTACCTATGGTGGTAATAATAATAATAATAATAATAATAATAATAATTATTTATTTATTTATTTATTTATAACCTGCTGTATCTCCCCAAAGGGACTCAGGGCAGTTTACAGACAAAAGTAACAAAGTGGCAAACATTCATTGCCAAAACGAACAAACAGCAACAATAAATCCACTGGAGCCGCAGTGGCCTGGAGGAGGGCAATGGTGAGGCCCTCCTGGGCCAATTGGTGCCGTGGCGGCCTGGAGGAGGGCAATGGGTAGGTATAACAAAGATCATGTTCAATTTAAGAGTAATACATTTTCTCTCATCCTGTGAAAATGACTGGCAACAAAATAGCAGTGATGTATTCACTGATTCTGCAGATTCAGCCATCCATGGCTGGATTTTTTAAAAAAATTGCAAAGTGAAAACCCTAATTTTGTCATTTTATACGCCACTTTATATTATAGAACTATACCACTGAATATAATGAAACTTGAGCATTCAAGGATTTTGGTATCCTGGAACCAGACTCTGGCAAGGGCCCATTGTATTTAGTTCATTTAATAAGGTTAGGTGGTATATATAAATGAAAAAAAATCTACCAAAACAGAAGACTGCAGGAAAAATATCATTTTCTCACTTTTGGAGATTTGAAATTATAGTTGTATTGCTTGGGTCACATCTTGTTCATTGTGCAAGGCATGTGCATAGTTTCTCATTTCAACCAGTTCTTATAGTAGTTAAAAATGGAGTAGACTAATGATTTGCCATTCTAATGGTATGCATGGGTTGATTTAACATGGCTTAGATCAATCAGTGTAAAATACAAGCAATAAAATAAGCATATTGATACCACCCAAGTTCAACATCAGTGTAGTTTGGTGATCTTGAATAACTTTTTTTTTCTTTTGAAGTTGTGGACAAGTTCACCTGAAAAAATTATGTCATGATATTTTTTAGCACATAATTTAATAACCATTATCACTCATTGTTTTTATGTTAGTAGTGAACTGAAAATTTAAGAAGCTCAGTAATCAGTAATTTCCTGCTTTAATGCTGTTGCTCCAAACAGATAGTGCTTTATTGCTTATTTGCTTTCTAAATTATGTAGACAGCTTCTCTGATAAATGTTTTCTTCACATATCTTCACATATCTAGTATAATGACCCCTTTTGGACATCCTTCTATATTTGTAGGTGAACTGATAAAGCTCGATCTTAGATGTCAATGAAATCTGAGAGTTCCAGCTTACAGAACTTATGGACACAAGCAGCAGACCTATATAAAGTTATCACGTCTTCCTTAATTTCATCTTCAACTGATGAAGTGGTCTGTGAGATTATTTTAACCCAAGGTTGTAAATGGGAAAGAATACAATATAGAATTAATGTTTTCTGTGGTGGCTCAGTCTTGTTTTGTCATTTCTGGACAAAAGTAAATCACCTATGACAATATTCAGTTTTTTCCTCAGTGCAAGTTTTACATGGGGGAGAACCACCAGTTTCGGAGAGGCAGAAATTCATGAGAAGCTGGGACACATTTGGCTTCTTAACTAATAAGGACTATCTTCAGACTTCTTGAGAAGTGTCCCCATTTTCCCTTGTGGATCTCATTAGATGTTCCAGTGAAATCTAGGTAATTAAATCGTAATGGTATGTGAGTCAGAGCCATTGAATCCTCACCAGTACCAGAAGTTTCTGTATTAAGTCTCAGTAGTTGAAACAACATGCAAAAAGCTTTTTAAGATTCTATATATTAACCACCTATTATTTCATCATTGCCAAATACTGTCAGATTTCCCATCGAGGAAATACAGTTTCATTATTTCATTATGGTTGATTTGTCAGAAAGGGAAGCATAAGGATAGTTTGTCCTCAAATATAATACATGAACAAATGCAGCATCTTGAAAACATTTTGAGTCAACATAAGTAAAATGTTTTCATTTAAATTATAGATGGTAGATTTTACTCAATACCTAAAGGTTTGCATGTTTAGGGGCAAGATCCACTCCATATAGAAAATTGCAGACCACATAGACAAAATTGAAAGAAATTGGCCTTGTTGATCAATGAACCTGTAATTCTGGTCCTGCTGCCTGATCCCTTGGGATGTCATGAAAGGATCTATCAGGCCAGATCTCCAGCATGGTCTTTCAGCCACTGGTGGATGTAGGAGAAACATATGCAATCCCTGCTGGGAAAGACCAACTTCATGCCACCCCTTCAAGTCCCTGAAGGGGACTCCCTATTACTTTCAATTCATGATAGACACTGGGTGCACAATCCTGAATTCATGATCCATGACAACAGCCCCCACAACGTTGTGAGAACATTTGCAAAATTGGCAATAGCATAAGAGATAGGGCAGGAGGGTGAGATGAAGCTCAGAGAATGACTGCCTTCCCCCTGCTGGAGTTCATCCCTCCCCATGATATCCAAAGATAGATGGATAGATAGATAGATAGATAGATAGATAGATAGATAGATAGATAGATGGATGGATGGATGGATGGATATATTTGGTAAGAGTTACAGTTAAAATGTACCTGTTTTGACTTACATACGAATTTAACTTAAGAACAAACTTACAGAACCTATCTTGTTTGTAACTTGGGGGCTGCTTATACTTTTATTTTTCCTGGGCTGGGAATAAGACACCGTGTCACCCCTGGGAATGGCTGCCATGTTGCACTCCCACCCCGAACCACAATCTCACCGGCTAATAAATTGGCATCATGATTTCCCATACATCGAGATATTCAGTGTTCCCTGCAGTTAGTTTTGTGTAAGACAGGGACAGTCTGGATCTCAAGGGAAGTTACATTTCTGTTGCTAGTGGAGTTGAAATGTTGGCCTAATATCAGTGTATGATGCATTGTAGATTTTGTTGTACTGTTCTGCATGGCCAACGTACTTACCTCTAAATATGCACCATAATTTTGGAGATTGAAGTGTTTTATAATCTCGGGGCTTTTGATTATTGTGTTTGCCTAGTTAACTGATGACATATTTTTGAGCCCTGAAATGCCTGGACTCAGCATTTCATGTATTTATCTATTTTATTAAAGGATTCATATTCTACCCCATGGAGAGTTTATTAAAATAAGTAGCATGATAATCCTGCTGTCAAGGCTGTGAGGTTTAGTTGGTTATATTTGTTCATGTTCAAGAACTTGACTTTGAAATCATGAACAAAAATGTATGTGGAAGAAAATTTGCTCTATTCATTCCTAGTGCTTGAGAGGATATTGTTGATTTGGAGGTTATGCTCTGTTTACAGCATATTTACCATGTAAGGTATCTGTGATGATAATAGCGTTGTTGTTGTTGTTGTTGTTGTTGTTGTTATTTCATGACAAAAGCATTGCATAAAAAGCAATGCTTTTGGGTTGGAAAGATTAGCCATTTACAAGAAATGCTGCCCAGGGGACACCTGACTGTATTTACTCGGTCTTCAGGGAGCCTCTGTCTGTGTCCCCCATAGCATTACTAATGTGCTGTATCAGACATGCAATGACACTTCTTTAAAATAAATAACTACCCCAGCTTTGATAAACATGTGTATATTTGTGTATTTGCCTTCACATTACTTTACTTATAACAACTTCATGAAGTTCATAGAATTTTCTTAGGCAAGGAATACACAGAGGTGGTTATGCCTGTTCCTTCCTCTAAAACACTGGTTCCCATCTTTTTTTTTTCTTTTTCTTTTTTTGGACCATGGACCACTTTCCAACATTAGTACCAAAAGGGCTCCAAATCAGTTTTTTGGCAACTTTAGATTACATTTGGTTGTTTGGGATGCTGATTTAGAAAATTTCATTGGATAGACCATATCAGCTCTAGTTTCTGATATAGAACATATGGCATCCAGTAATTGCCCACATAAAACCATATTTAATAATCTAGAGCTGATGTGGTCTGTCTAATCCAATTTTCTGAATCAACACCCCAAGTAACCCCAGGAACAGGCCTAAAAACAAAGACACTAAGGCACCCTGCTTTCAGTCACCACGTGAGGGAGGAGGAGGAGGAGGAGAAGCAGCAGTCAGGAGACTTGTTGTCGCACCTTTTGTGGGTAGTCAACCTCTTCCCTCCGGACATCTGCGTTGCCTCGGCACTATAAGAGGGTTCTGTGAGACCAGTCACTCTCGTTGCAATGGTATAGTAATGGTGAGTTTGAGGACCATATTTTAATTCTTGGGGACCACTGGTGGTCCACAGACCACAGGTTGGGAACCACTACTCGAAAATGTAGTATTCATCTCCTAGAATCATAGAGTTGGAAGAGACCACAAGGGTCATCCAGTCCAACCCCCTGACATGCAGGAATGTGTAGTAAAAGCACTCCTGACGCATGGCTTTCCAGCATCTGTTTAAAAACCTCCCCATTCCTCCTAGCCAAGTACCAACCAAGGCTGACCCTACTTGACAAGTTTTCCACTGTCAGATTGTTACGGTGCAGACTTACTTATGATCAATCCCTTTTATTTACCTTCTTAATAGGGCTGGCTAGGAGAACATCTTCCCTTTATGCAGCAAAATAAATGAAATATTCAGGCTTTACCTGGTACTTAGCTGTTGTAATATAAAAAGTAACTGGAAGGAGGCACTTCACAGTTTATACATAGATGAAGTGACTGCAAATATGTGCGAGTTATGAAATGCCGCCTAAGCTTTTGCTCTCTGAAATCAGAGCTAGATGGCAGGAATGTTCTTGAATACTAAGAGTAAGAAGATTGCTGCTATAATTATAGCAAATAAAACAGTCTTCTGTTAGAGGCTGTACTTCGTTTTATATTGTGCCATTAATATTTAAAATGTGGATTTGAATTCTTTTCAGTTATCTCCATTTAGTGGTTGTTGATAATTCCATAGTGAGAGTCTCTAAGAATATGATTAACCCGGAGGGTCATTTTATAATGTAATTATTAATGATTGATTCTGTTTATCCTTGAAATCAATATAAAAAGCAAAATTGCTCAGCATACATTTGGGTTTGATTTCTCACCTTTGGTAAACATGACGAATCAGTGTTGGCTTTTTATATAAAGAGATATTTGAGGTATCTAAAAGTACGCAGCGTCGTTTTAAAATAATTTTGGTTATATGCGGTGGTTCTCACGTGGCATATGTTAATATGGTCAATAGTGTTAACATCTCCTGCCACTAATAGTTAGGGTGGGGATGTATAGTAATTGATCTTCTTGGGAGAGCTGTAATGTAAAAACAATTCAGGCTGTTTGAAGTATATTTTACAAGTGTGCATTGGGCTTTTGGGATGTTACATTGAAAAACCCAATTGTACAGTTACCATGGGAACCCAATTAGAATAGATTGCTTGGGTTTTTTTTAGTCTTTTCATCTTGACCAAAAATCTAATGTACTTTAAATGTTTTCATATGGAATTTTATTCACAGTTTGGATTGATGTAATAATAGCTTTTATTAGAAAGCTCAAGCCTAATAGCATGAAATGTTCTGTATCAGGGCTTTCCTACTCAACGCAGAAGGATAGTGTTTCAGTATATGCACATATATTTAAACTATTATATGGATCATTTTTATTGTGACACGCTTCCTTTCAATTATGGCCAGATATAGTATTTGTTGAAAATCTGTTCTGATAATTGTAAAAAGAAAAAAAGTTCTTTTTGATAACATATATTAATTGTCTTCCAATATTTGAATGTTTTCGCAAGGAAGGGAAGGGAGTTCTCACCTTGCCCAGAAAGGACAGTATTAGAAGCAGTGGGGTTCAATGATCGGTAAGCAGCGTTTTGGATAAACATTTGTAACGTAAGTAATAATATTTCGGCAATGGCATGAGCTACTATAGGCTTTTCTTCTGGAGGCTTTCAGGAAAAGAGTGCCTTGGCTGGAATGTTTATTTTACCTTTTCATAGCAGGAGGTGGGGATCCCTGTGTACCTCCTTGTCTTTTGAAATTTGAAGTCCCGAACAGTGGGCCATCAGATGAAAGTAAAGCAAAACTTGGAAGCTGAATCTCTACTGATACCTGTATTGTGGAAATCTGTAATGAGCAGGGAAGCTATAAAAGTATACTCTTTTTTTTGTTTTACTACAGAACATTTTAAATGTGAGCTTTAAACAATACCTTTCAAATATTTCTTTTAGCGAATGAAGATGGAATCTGATTTTGGGCATATTTACTGCTCTTTCTCTCCTGCTGGGATCTCTCTTAGTGGCAAGCTAAGGCACTTCTAATGTCCAGCTGTGAAAGCAGAGCTGTAGCTTGCTTTGGAACAGATTCCAACATCATTCCTTGATCTACCAAGTAGAGAATGTGCTTGGCCTCAGTCGGCTTGCCAAATAACAGCACAGCTTTTGGAGCTGTGTCTGGCTGTGTGAATTGTTAAAGCATCCATGACATTTCGTGCCAACCAAATGGCCGAGGAGAAATTATGATTCCTCACAGAGTGATGCTATCATTTTTCTGAAACCAAGATTCCTTTTTACTGTTTTCAGAATGTCTGTAAGCCCATGTCTGGACACATTTCACATACAATCCTTTGTGGCAAGTTATTAATTTGCAGAGGCAAGAGGGACCTGGAAAAATTGCTTAGGATTCCATATGTCCTTATTTCCAGAAAAGTACCTTCACTCTCCCCATGGCATTCAATTCCATAGCCACGCACCAGTCTTTTGTGCCTAATGAAACCTGTTTGATTTCATTAGGATAGTCTGCTTGATCCTCCATACCTATATCTATATCTGTACCTATGTCTTTTTACTTTTTTCCCATACGTTTTTATTATTCATTCAAAAAATCACACAAAGAAAAAAGGAGAATAAAAAGGGGTTAAGAGTTGTTGAGCTCTGATTAGTAAATTAGATCTATATAAATGTCTGCTGTATCACTGAGGAAGTGGAAGGGGATTGAGGGGGAAGAGAAGCCTTATGTTTGTTATAATTATTACATCTATATCTTTAACTCAAGTACTATTTTACATGTCATCTAAAGTTTTGAAAGTTCCAAATGTCCTCAATAACAGAACAGAACACAGTCTTGTTGTTTTATGTTTATACTAGTACTACTATCCAATGTTCTTCCAATATTCTGTATGTATATCTCAAACCTTTTTTGTACTTAGTCAACTTGGAAGCTTACCAATCTATTAATATGTCTGTTCTATGTTGGTTGTGCTATTTTGACACCCCCCCCCCCATGGTTATGTGTCAGCATTTTGGCATTGTGGTCCCAAAGGCCAGTAGTACATACTCGATATCTTCACTTTTAATTTACTACTACTTTAAAACAGTACTTCAAGTAAGAGGCAGACTTAAGTATTTTTTAAAACAAGTAAAATTGAAAAAAAATAAAGCTGTGATTGAATAACAACAGCACTTTTGGCTATAGAAATTGAAATGAATTGAAATTATAAGAAAACATACATTTTAGTTTTATTACTGAATATAATTTCTGTTCTTACAAAGCATGCCTCATTAAGCAATCACAAACAAAAACTTCAATCAATTTTGAAAGTGATGTGCCTCCCTCCACCCCAATTTATCTTTGAAATCTAGGTCTTGGCTGGTTTTGCTACCTGTACTAAATTGGGTTAGCATGATTGAAAGGGGATATAATTTCTATTCAAGCTGCTCAAAGCTCTTTATTTTTAACACACATTTAACTAAAACACTTGGGAGAAGTCCACTTCTTGTTAAGACTTCAACATCCCCACCCCTCTAATTAAGATCTGAGAATACTCCCTATACACGTGTCTGACTTAGCAAAGAAAGACCTCCAGCAAACAAAATGAAACTCAGCTTTGTAATCCTAATTATTGGGAAACCTCGTACAGATATTTTTTTTGTGTGGGAAGGGCTGTATCATAGATTTCTGAAATGGCATGCTCATAGGACATGATCCACCACTATGAGAGGTTTGGTTAGACACATTAATGTTTTTGGATAGTTTTCTCCTTATCTCTCCTTATTCTTCCTAGATCAGTCTTTTGGGACTTGGTTTTTATTTTAACTTGCTTGGAAGTTTTCACATTCTGCTGAAATAAATGGTCTGGAGTTCTTTACATATACTGTATTTCCTCAAATGTAATGCACATCTTTTTTGGCTTAGTTGTTTAGTCCAAATGGACAACATTTGATGGTGTGTTTGAATCACACTCCAAAAGGTTCCTGTGCCCCTCTGTCAGCCTTAGGATATTGGATTTGAACCCTCCACTTGATGGACGAGCCATGGCTTCCCTGTTAGCCTAATTGAGGCTCTGAAAAAGTCCATCTGAAAAGCCATGCCACTTAGCCAAGCCAGACTTGGTTTGGTTTGACAGGGGGGCCACTTCTCCTGTTTTACATTGTCTTCAATTGAAAGGCTTAGGAAAATGTCCCCCCCCCCCCCCCAGGTCTGTTTTCCTTAGCACAAGGAACTCTTCACCCCCTTCCTCTTCTCAGGTCCATTTTCCATAGCCACCTATTAATAATGATAATAATAAAACTTTATTTGTACCCCGCTACCATCTCCCCAAGGGACTCGGTGCGGCTTACATGAGGCCGAGCCCACAATACAACAATAAAAACAATAGCAACAGTAATACAGACAATAAATAAAATTCATAAACAGAAAATAAGCAATAAACATTAACAATAACACAACTACGTGATTTCACTTCCTCTGAGGATGGTGACCTCACTACCTCTGAGGATGCTTGCCATAGATGCAGGCGAAACGTCAGGAGAGATGCCTCTAGAACATGGCCATATAGCCCAAAAAATTACAACAACCCAGTGATTCGGGTCATGAAAGCCTTCGACAATACAATATAAGCCTTGTCTGTAACATGAAGTCTCGTTTCTCTTTCCCTCTCTCTCTGCCTTTTCTTTCATGACTTCTTGAGGGAAGGGTTACCTGATGTTATTCTCCATTGGTGATCTAACACTTTTTATTTTTAAAGAAGGAATTATAAGCACACAGCAACACCTTTTGTAATAAATTACAGAGAGGGCACTTTTTGCTGCTGTGCATTACATTCGCCAGCAAAACCTGTTTTGATAGCACACCAGATTTGAGTAAATATGGTATAGCCTTTATGGTGTGTTGATAAGTCCACCTGTATTTTTTTCCACGGGCAAATAAAAAACTTATGTGCCTCTTTGGAAATCCAAAGAAGAGTAGTTGTAAAATATTCACCATTGTGAGGATGGACAATTTAGATAGCCAGCTTTGCCCAGTAAAAGTAATCTGATTTCCCAGATAAGATTTTACACAGTAACAAATCGCTTGATAAATGTTGTCTGTATTTATCCTTGGTAGAAAGCAAATACTAATCCATTTGAGTTTTGAAAAACAATATTGTAAGTGGATTATAAAGTAAACTATAACTATGATCCTACATGTTCTTATTAAGAAATTATTTCCTATATTTCATGTTCTTAGATTTGATGGAAACGTGTTTAAGATTTCAAAATTATGTCATGAGTTGCTGTCATTTGGGGAAAAAAAACCCCTCTTAGTATCTAAATTTAAATGATATCCATGGTAGTATTATTATCGGTTCAGATTCATGTTTGTTTTTCTTTTTACATCATTCCTTATATTTCAATATATGTCCTGGACATTTTGTTTAATCTAAGGAAGGAAACAAATATGAAGAAGGAAAAAGAAAGGCAACATTTAGTGGTTCATGCACAGTATATTTTAAGCAATATTTTTACAGGCTTTCGGATGTGTCTCAAGCTATTCTATTATCCTGTGGATCCCTATTTTACAGGGAAAGCGATGAGAGAAGTCCTCGTAATGTCATCTGTTGATTATGACTCATTACAGATGATAGATGACCTTGTGATCTTCAAAATTCCTGTTTGCTCATAAGAAAAGAGAAATTCCCATCCAGTGCTTTGTATTATACACTCTTTGTATTATACACTCTTAAAATATGCAGTCCTGTGTGTTTATGTGTGATTTCATGTTATAAAAGAATCAATAATATAGCCCAAGCCACCTCTGTTATCTGCTTATAAAATCTATATTTTTGTTTTCCTAACAAGTTTCATTTTCCCCCATGCTTTTAGGCAGAGCTTCCTGGACTTAACATGGCCTCAAAACTGCATCAAAAAGTAAGTTGGATGTTTGTGTGTGTGTGTGGGAGGGGGGAGCACATTTAGGTCCACACACAAAGTAATAATGCTGGAGAAGAATTCACATAACATAGTTGGCATCTTTCCCCAGTGTCCAGCAGTCAGTGTTAAGAATCCAGTTGACAAGATTGATGCTGCATTGTAAATCTCAGTAGCTCTGTCATGGTTGGTAACAGGCAGCAGTGGACCTTTCCGCATCACATATCTATCTTCCACAGAGCATAACCTAATTGAACATTGCTGTATTTTTAGGGTTAACTGAACAGTTTTCTGCTGTTCTGTGACTTGATGAATATTCTTTTTTAAAACAACAAGAATCCATAAATAACCAGATTTCAACTTATCATCCGAATGAATGTTGGGAGTCAAGTGAAAGAATATAAAATCAATTATTTCTTTGATAAAACTAAACTTCACAGAAACTGTATTTTATATGACGGTACACATTTTTTATTTTATTAAAGCATTCATAATGTAGTACACACTTAAATGTATGTGGATAAAGTGCTTTTGTGGTAATAATCCTCTTTGTTTTCTCATTTCTCTTTTTATTGCATGAGTGTTTTGTACAATGCAATCAACTTAACACACTTACCTATCAGAAATAAGCAGGTCACCTTGTTTATTAGTGCAGGTCTTTTTTCTAGCTTGGAGAAGAACTCAAAGCATAGCCTCTTAATTAAAACTGAATAGTCTTTTAAAAAATGGCATGATTTTTCTCCCATTTACTTCTATTAGCATTGTTTCATTATAAGCCAATTTTGATACAATCTTAATTATTTCCACTGTTTTCTAAATAACTACACACACACACAAATTACGCATTTTGGAGAAAGGTAGATAAGGGCTGATCCAGTTCTTAGAAACTCCCATTCAGTTCTGTGGATCAGTATTTGCCATTTGGAATTGAATAAAGAAAAGGACAGTTCTGAATCATATCTTCGGATATATCTACACTGCAGAGTTAATGCAGTTTGACACCACATTAACTGCCATGGCTCAATGCTATGGAATCATATGTCTTGTAACTACATATTTAGCTCTCTGCCAAACAATCAGGTGCCTCACTAAACTACAAATCAATGGGTTCCATAGCATTGACCCAAAGCAGTTAAATTAGTGACAAACAGTATTCATTTTTTTATAGCGTAGATGCAACCTTCAATATCACAAATACTATCCTGGCTTGCGACCTCATCTCATGGGTAAACTTATCTATCGTATAACGCATTCACCAGAGTTGAAAGATGGAACATGCAGAATCCCATCAAACAATGTACTTCTACCTCATGCAGGGCTCCATCTCTTAACTGCAGTGAAATGATCATAAGAGGCCATTTGGGATTGAATAAAGGACAGTCCTGAACCATAGCTTAGGGTACACCTACACTGCAGAATTAATGCAGTTTGAAACCACTTTAACTGCCATGGCTCAATGCTATCTTTAGCCTTCTCTGCCAAATAGTCTGGTGCCTCACTAAACTACAGATCCATGGGTTCCATAGCATTGAGCCAAGGCAGTTAAAATGACGACAAACTGTATTAATTTGCTCTAGTGTAGATCAGTAGTTTTAAACCTGTGGCTCCCCAGATATTTTGGCCTTCAACTCCTGGAAATTCTAACAGCTGGTAAACTGGCTGGGATTTCTGGGAGTTGTAGGCCAAAATACCTGGGGACCCACAGGTTGAGAACCACTGGTGTAGATGCAACCTTCAATGTCACAAATCCCAACCTGCCTTGTGACCTCATCACATGGGTAAATTTACCTGTCATATGACACTTTCACTAAAGTTGAAGGATAGAGCTCACTGGATCCCATCAAACACGTACATCTACCTAATGCAGGACTCTGCCCCTTAACTGTGGTGAAATGGTCATGAACCCACACGATTTCTTCGATCATCTGGAGAGGCCCTGCTCACGCTCCCACCTCCATCGTAAGTGCGATTGGTGGGGACGAGGGAGACGGCCTTCTCGGTGGTGGCCCCTCGACTCTGGAACTCACTCCCAAAGGACATCAGGCATGCCCCAACTCTGCCAGTCTTTAGGAGGAGCCTGAAAACGTGGTTGTTCCAGTGTGTCTTCCCAGAATAAGGAAACTCCCAGCAGTATGTCCCTAAATGCACTTTATTAGTGATCTAGGATCGTCTGCATGCTCCATCCTTTTCCGAGAATTCTATCCTAGTTATATTTCACCTGGTCATGCTCAGCATTATTTTAAAAAATTAATTGTTATTTTATTTATTTATTTATTTAGAAGTTTTCTATACCGGCCTTCTCACCTCAACGAGGTGAGACTCAGGTCAGTTTACAGCATATATAAAAATACAATCATATATAAGAACAACAAAATGCAAAGTCATTACATATTAAAATAGTACAATACAGTACAATAGAACATCATCATCACAATTACCTAAGCCAAATTGTCAATCCAGTCATGGTCATAGTCATACTCGTAGTCACAGTTCATCATAATTCATCACAGGGAGGAGGTTCTAGGTTCAGTCCTCAAATGCCACATTCCAGAGCCAGGTCTTTAGTAATTTCCTGAACGTCAGCCATAGGTTTTAAATGTTCTTCTGTTATTGTTAATGTTCAATGCTTTTTTCAGTTTATGAGTTTTATTTTACTGTTTTGTATTACTGTGTATTGTTTATTGATGTATTGTGGGCTTGGCCTCATGTAAGCCGCACCGAGTCCCTTGGGAGATGGTAGCAGGGTATAAATATAAAGTATTATTATTATTATTATTATTATTATTATTATTATTATTATAAGAGGGAGCAATGAGAACATGGGAGACTTGCCATGCTCTCATTGAGAAGAATGGGGCGAGAGCAGGGGGGAGCTGGGCAGTGGTTCTTCCCCTGTGGGATGGGTAAGGGGCGATGCTGGGGGACAGTTTCCCCTTGCTGCCCACTGGATTCACTATTCTGCATGGTGAATCCCTCCACTATTGCCCATCATGTGGACCTTAATGTGATGAGGTTCTTGGATTTTGTATGGCAACATGCCTTTCTTTTCTCATATATGAACAACTGCTTCCCTTTATTTATTAGTGTGACTAGGAACAGACTGTTGCAGTTGAGACTGAACTTATGATATGTCCTTGAAACTGAATAGTCTGGAAGGCTCTCCGTGGTGCAGAGCGCATACTGTGAGAAAGCTCTCAAAATATATTTATTTTCCCCAGCACTAGTCTATCAGTGATAATGATGGGCATTTCACTACTTTATAGAAGCAGTTAATAAGCATGAAGAAATCCAGAGCTATCAATTTATATCCAGATGGTTGTTCAGCATTCTGTTAACAGAACCCGGAGCATTGTGTTCACAGTTTTGCTACAGAGACAGTATTTCATTTTCATCAGTTTTGAATATGTACATCTGAACTTGGCTCATGTTGGCTCATCCTTCGCTGCTTTCATTTGCCAGACAAAGAACTCTCTCTGCGTGCCCTGTGCACTGTGATTTGTGGATATTGAGGGATATAGCCAAATGAGTATGGGATAAACATAGTACATGTATTATTTATTTATTTCGCTTGTATTTGAACAGCTTTTCATGGCTGACAATTACTGTGTGTATGCTTATATAGTACTCTGTGTGTACAAATATACACATATCTAGACATATATAATATTTACTTTCATGCTGTCTCTTAATAGCACTGTCAATAAAATTTGCTTGAAAACCCCCATACAACTGTTTGTTTCATACTTTAAAATATGTCTATGGAAATAGCACTATTTATTTACAAGCAGATGCTAAGGTTTCCCATGGTTTAGCTTAAAGGGTAGTGTTGTTAATAGTGTTACCCATATTGCTTGGATGATTTTTTTTTTTGGTTTTCTTATTATTCTCTAGTCCTGACTCCTCAGGTGTATCTATTTCAGTCTTATGGAGGATGATGGATGATGCAGGAAAGTTTCTTTTGAAGCACTTCTGATATTGTGCAATGCACTTGGGGGTCAGCTACACTTGACTGATGCATGATTTATCTGATGTCCCTGCCACTTTCTGAGATAAAGCTGCTATTTTATCAAAAATGCCAGAAACGGTGACTTGGAATTTATATGCCTTCTTTTTTCAAATAATTGCTCTGATTACTTTCTGCTATGGCAATAAAATGATAGAGGTAATTGCACACAAATGTGAGATAGCACCAAAATACAATAAAATTAACCTGAATTAGCTTGACTTGTCAATGAAGTATTTATGAAATGTATTTTTGCAATAAAGGAGACCAATATTATAGCTGGAAGGTGAGTTATTGCCTTAATGTAATACAGTTTGAAATTTAAAAAAGAGACTGTTACAGTTGAGGGTGATTGTGCTTTTGAAATTAAGTTGAAGTGATTCTTGTAATTGGCAGCAATAATGCATTGCAAAGGTAATATCTTTTATTGTGTTATGCCTAGTTGCATTATCTCTTAGTTGGTTTTGACTCGAGCTCCTCGAAGAACATAGCAAACAGTTCTTGAATTTTTGTGGATTTTGATAACAGAACATCTTGTGAAATAGTATGCAGTTTTGATTATAAACCTTGCCACTTTGATTCATATCTAAAAAATAGTTTTTCAGCTCCTGTTAAATCTGGAGGAAAATCCACACATTTTATATATGTTTTTAATCAGATTTGTTAGCTTCAGCTTTCTTCTATGTGACAACAGGAGATGAAGCTTTGCAGGTATGGGCTAGCTCATATCTGTGGAACAAAGAAACTCCTGCTAGGCTATAATTGTTAAACGTTATTAATATAGCACAACCAACACAGTGTGAATAGGGTTATTTCACCCCTAACATCATGTGTACTGTGCATAGTTCTTCTCCAGCATTGTGTACATAGGAAGTCCTTTCTGTGTATTGTTGCATATGTGGATGCCTTCATATGATTTCCCCAAATCCTCTGTGTGTACAGTGGTGTGCATGACAGCTGCCCACAACCAGTTTAAAATAAGGTCAGCTGCTCCCCA